TTTTTTTTGCCCTATGACAAACAATTCTTCCAACATATAACCCAAATTTTTTTCTCACCAATTCCTGAATTTTCCATAATCTTATATATGGTTGACAGGTTATTTCATCCTTGAACTTTTCTGCAACAAACTTAGATGTACACAACTTGTTCTTGGTCGATTGAGGACATACATGCACAGGATAATAATTTTTGACAACAAAATCACCAGAATCTTTATCTATACTAGCAAACAGCAACCATTTACATTTCTTGTCCTCACATTTAACTCTAACTCTTTTTTTGTCATTAGGCTTCAATTTTAACCTAGTTTTATATTGACAAGAATAGTCTGCAACAGCTTTTCTAAATTGTTCAGCACTTTCAAACACCATACCAAGCTAAAAAATTGCTACAACACAATCAGGATCAAATCTTACCTTTTTACTTTTTCTTGTTCTTGGTAAATCAACACCCTTCACAAATTCTGAATCAAATTCATCCCTACTGTCTTCACTGTCCAATTCTGAGCTATCTATATATTGCTCATCACCCCCTAGTATTCCAGTGTATCTAGCAGTCTTATTCCTTCATATGTCTTCAAAGCCTCTATCAACACCAGCTGTTCCAAGCTTTATTTCCTCAGTTTGACTAGGTTTTTTCTTTTTCACTTTGTTTCTCCTTTCATTTCTAAGAGATCTTAATTCTTCATCAACCTCAGAGTCATCCACATTAGGAATAGCATCCTCTTGAGAGTCATCACTACTTTCTTCATTTGATTCAGTCCATTCCACATCTAGATCTGATATATCTCCTGGCTCAACTTCCACATTAACATTTTCAGATTCAGCCTCATGATTCAACCCTTCACTTGCAGTCACATTTATATCTTCTAAGTCTTCTTCAACGACAGACCCACAAAGCAAACCTGTTGTGACCACTTCTACATCATCCACCACATGCTTTACATAAATGTCTAAAAAGTCACCATCTTTTAGGTCTTTGATGAGATTTACTAATGTTAAATCAATGTCCACCTCAATAAAGCCATTTTTGTGGGGTCTTTAACACAGAACCCACCAACAATAATATACCCCAATTGTTTAGTGTAAAAAAGTAACTCAATTATTGAGAAGTGGTCCTTGTCGATATTAACATATTCCACCTCGACTTTCCCTTTATAAGTAATTCCAGTTTTGTCCTGAATAAACTTACCACCATGATGAAAACGAGTTATAATAATGGCGTCCATAAGATTCCCTGAAACAAGGCTCCAAATTTTTCTGACAGTTATGAACAATAAAAACCAAAAAACCCTAACTTTATCTAGATATTAACAACAACAACCACATTGATACTAAAACCCAGTATATATCAATAAAAACCACAGGATAAACACATATATTAAAAACACACAACCACAACAACATGCTCGTCACTTACCTCACACTCGTCAACTCGAAAATCGCGAATGAACTCCAAAATCGTCTGCAATCTTCGATGATTCCTTCAACAAAACACTCGAAATCACTTTAAAATCTAAGAATTTCAGTTGTAAAAGTCATTGAAAAGGAGAGATTCTTAGGGTTTTCTCGTTTAGAAACGGGTTAAAAGTGATTTGGGGGGGAATTGATTTTTAGGTTTGATGACATAATATGTGGCACTGACGTGTAATTGGGTTGGAGTGTATTGGTCAAAATTTCCACGTGGGGAAGGTTCATCTCACGCGCCTAATTACCAAAAATAATTTATTGAAATTTGACTCCACATCAGCCAAAAATATTTAAAAGGATCAAATTATAGGGGGTTAAAGGATTTATAGGAATCTTGGTTAGTTGAGGTACCTGGGGGAAAAGCGCGAACAACTTTAGGGACCTGCGTATGTATTTGGCCTATTTTTTTTCTTCAAAAATCTTGTATGTATTTATTTTAATATATATTTTATTTGTATTTCTATTTATTATAGTTTTTATTTAGAATTTTGTATAATAATATATAAAACACAAAAAAATTAGTATGATGAAAAAGTGAATGAAATAAAAAATTGAAAAGAAATAATTAAATATTTGGTGTACTCATTCTTAAATAAAATACATAACAGTTGACATACCTTTAGAATAAATACAAATTACAAAAAAAAAAGTCAAATTCAGAAACAATGCAATATAATTTTTGAATGAATACAACTATTAATTGTAAAAATTGACTAATATTATTAAAATATGGATATTATCACTAAATAAGTTGATTTTTTTGACTAGTTAGCTAAATTTCCCTTTTTATTTTTGCTAAAAAAAGACTCCAAGGACATGAGTCTCTCACTTGGGCCCAACATTCAAAACCAAATCCGGCCCAAAACCATGACTGACCCGCCCCACACTATTTCTTCAGACCCCCACGCGCCCCTCTTCTCCATTCAGACCTAAATCGCAGCATCCCTAAAAGACGAAGAACCCTAGTTCGGTGCGGCATCTCTTCATACACTACGCCGTGATTGGCACAATTTCTTGTACCGCTCAAAGATTTTAGAAACTCTTCGATGGTATTGTGTTGTAATTTACCAGAAACTGTGCCTCACTGCGAGTCTACGACCAGCGACATTGCCTGACTTTCACGATTTCTATTGACGGCTTTGCAATCTATCAGCATCTCAGTCTTTTCTTCCAAGTTTCAACTGGTAAGTTTTAATTTTCTGAATTTTAGTGCGACGATTTATGAGTTCCATAAAAATATACTGATTTCTGTTCATCTAGCAAAGTGACCTGTATTGTCATGAGACCTGATATGAATATTTTGTTAGATTGTTTCTATGCAGAAGTTGATATGCACCCGCAGTTAATAGATCTTTGGCAAAACTTTCACTTTTCAATGGTGGCAATACACAGTGATATAGGATGACTTTTAGTTTAGGGAGTGTTATCTTAGAATCACATTAGAACTATCAAGTCAAAATTAGCTCCATTAGGCTTTATTTTTTTTGGTTATTTGACAAGTCACAAGAAGGCTAAAAAAGCCTTGAAAGTTCTTGAGCCTTGGTGAAGAATTGTTTAAGCATTTAATAACTCATTTGTTTACTCCTGCTGACATAACAAGTGTCTGAGGAAATTCATTGTCCCCTTCTTGTTGCTTAGAATGAGTAAGCAGGTTACGTGGCCATACACATTTTTTAACTTGAACTGCTAATTGTTCGATAATCTGATAACTGGTGGCCTCTTCCTACTTTGAACAGCTCAGTTTACCCCCAAAAAATAATGCATTGCATGGGAATCAACCTCTTCAGGCTGCATACTCTAGGGATAGACATCAATTGGTCTGATCTCAAAGTGCATTGGAGCAAACACCTCTATACAATTGTATAACCATTTTTGGTTTCTACTTGGATCAGAAAGTTTGATGTATTTTATTTTCTTTAAATGTTGGACACCAAGAAGTCATGCAAACAGCAACCTATTAGTTTGTTTCTCCTTGGTATCCTACAAGTTGTGGCGATTCAAAGTCCCCTACTTTTTCCTTTCATGAGAATGTAGGCTACGATAACCGGACATCTCTATTCAGTTATCTTTACAGAAGCTACTAATCTATGATAAACTAAACTTGTTGCCTCTATTTTGCTCGTTATGTCCTTCATGCGGCTCTGAGAAATTTGATTGCCTTTTATTTTCTTTAAGCGTTGGACACCAAGAAGACATGCAGACAACAACCTATTAGTTTGTTTCTACTTGGTGTCCTACAAGTTGTGGAAATTCAAAGTCCCCTACTTTCTCATTCTCATGAGAATGTAGGCTACGATAACCCTACATCTCTATTCAGCTATCTGTGTGGAAGGTACTTATCTATGATATAGTGAACTTCTTGCCTCTCTTTTGCCTCTTTAAGAGATACAGCCTTCATGTGGTTCAGGGAAGTTTCATTGGCTTTTATTTTCTTTAAACGCCGGACACGAAGAAGACATGGAAACAGCAACATATTAGTTTGTTTCTCCTTGGTATCCTATATGTTGTGGGTATTCTAAGTCCCCTACTTTCTCCTTCTCATGAGAATGTGGGCTACGATAACCCTACATTTTTATACGGTTAACTTTACAGAACCTACTAATCTATGATATTTTAACCTAGCTGCCTTTTCTTTTGCCATCTACCTCAAGAGTTCCTTCATCTGGTTGACGAAATGTCTTTAGTTTGTTTAGGTGTCGGACTCCAAGAAGACTTGCAACGAATAAACTATTAGTTTGTTTCTCCATGGTATTCTACATATTTTGATGATTCATAGTCCCTTAATTGCTAGCTGTCTTTTCTTTTGCCAGTTCCTTCATCTGGTTGACGAAATGTCTTTAGTTTGTTTGAGCGTCGGACACCAAGGAGACTTGCAACAAATAAACTATTAGTTTGTTTCTACATATTTTGATGATTCCTAGTCCCTTACTTTTTATTCGGAAGTTTTAAGCTCTGATCATTTATGCTTTTGGCCTCAACCTGAAAAACCATTACACATTATCTCATCCCTTGCGTTCTATATAGCTAACAATTAGCATTCACTTGTTGGAAAGAGAATGAGGAATTTGCTGATTGGGAGCTGTATTGTTGGAAAGTATGAAGTTTTGATAGACTAAAAGATAGAACCACAGTTGTATTAGATGGGAAGAGCTGTTTCTATAGCAGGAATTTGAGTTATTCTTTTATAGAGTAATTGTGCTGAAAGTCTGTCCATTAGAAAGGCTTGTGCATTTCTTTGTTATGTTGGAAATGATACTGAGTATGTTTTCTATTGTGATTCTTTCTAGTCTTCTGTGAATACTTCTCTCTTTCTACTTTTCTTTGTAGTTGTTTCGTCCTCCCAGAAACTTAGGTTTCTATCTCTTCTAATGCATTTTCCTCTTTGGTTGTCCACGATCCACTTTCTTGTTTTTATTGTTTCACAATTATTTTGACATGAATACTATAGTTCTCCAGATGTGTACTGGTTTTTTGGTTTTGGGCTTTTGGCTTCCATTTTAGGATTTTAATTTTTTTTGAAACAATTACCATGTTTTTATTTGGTCAACTGATAGTTTCCCTGTTTATTATTAAACATACAAGAACTGACTTACAAAGTTGAAATCTTTCCAATCTACATAGTCGAAGACACCTTGGCTTTATTTTTGCACAGCAGTTTTCCAACTTTTGAAGATAATCTTCCACAAAGAGCAATTGGATGGGGTGAAAAGGCTTGATAGAAAAAGGATGGAGTGGAAAGGATAATTGTATATGGCACGTTCTCTTCCCTTTATGGAAGAAGTTGGCTGTATAGGTTAACGGCAATATATTTATCAAACTACTGAAGTAGAAGCTACATATTTTGTGTCTTAACATAAAAGACTTTCCTGAATCTGAAAGCATTGGAACTTCAAAGTCATTATTCCCATCCCCCATCCCCCATTCCTACCTTTTCTTGATAGAAGAGGGAAATCCACTACCTGTCACTTAAACTATATATATGCACTTAACAGACTTTGCTGTGCTTGCATGTCAAGATGGATAGATCACATCGAAACCCCTAAAGTCTGAAAAAAAATGATGACAGAAAATATTGAGTGATGGTTTCTTATATCCAATTGTCCTACAAAATTTTTCTGTTGAATATATTCCTCCTTCAATGTGGAAAAGGAGGTTATAATCACACGTACATCCTCTTAGTGTGTCGCTGTATAATTTTGTGAAATATGGAATAGCTGTAGAGACTCTTCTCTTTTTTTCAATTTGTGGGTCCTTTGTTCATACAATACAATTGGACAAAAAAGGAATGCAAAAAATACCAAGTGATTGTTTGTTGTATCCTGTTGTCCTACAGCATATGAGTGATGAACAGTCTCCTTCTTTAGAGTGGAAAAGGAGGCTACAGTTACTCAGACAACCTCTTTACATGTTGCTATAATTATCTATATGGAATAGCTGTAAAAATCCTTTGCCCCCTCATTCTGGGGGTATATTGTCCGAGCTGTACAGTTGGACAAAAAATACAGAGTGATTGTTTGCTGTATCAAGTTGTCCTATAAAGTTGAGTGATGAACGGTCTCCTTCTTCAAAGTGGAAAAGGAGGCTACAATCATTCGTACGTCCTCTTAGCTTGAGGTTCTGGTTCATTTTTGCTTTCCTTCGCTACTTTATGTACTTGTTCCTTGTTTTATGGGGTTCTTGGTAGGATTTTAATTCTGAAGCACGATAGTAGATATCACTTGCATGTTTAAAGCTAGGTGATGTCAAAATGAGTTTGTTGAGGTGACCGTTGAGACTTTGGAAATATGATGTGATGAATTGTTGTTATTGAACCGTCTTTTATGGTTACTGGTTGAGGTGGACTCTCACTCAGTTCTTTTTTCCAAAAATGAAAACAGCACCTCATCCACGGAGCATAATTGCCAATAATAAAACCTCCCAAGGTTCAGACTTGCATAAATGCAGCAATCAACACTATCATCACACACGTCGGCGGTACAAGGAGCTTCAGCTGCGGAGTCCAATGAGATGAGTGGAGATGCGCCGCCAAAGCAGGTGGCAATGGCACTGGAGCGACTGGGGCAGGCGAGTCGACTCATAGCTGATATTAGAATTGGCGCAGATCGGCTGTTGGAAGCCCTATTTGTGTCAGCTCAGCGGCAACACTCTTCTAAACCTTTGCATCTTATCCACAAAGAAGAAGCTTCCATGAGACAACACCTTCAAGAGCTTCGCTCTGTTGGAAGACAGTTAGAAGATTCTGGTGTCCTCAATGATTCCCTCCGATCACGAAGTAATTCATGGGGCCTCCACATGCCTTTGGTTTGTCCTGATGGTGCTGTTGTTGCATATGCATGGAAGAGACAACTTGCTGGTCAGGCTGGTGCATCTGCAGTTGATAGGACCAGGTTAGCTCTCAAGGCCTTCAATGGTCAGAAAAGACGATTTTTCCCCCACCTTGATACCAATTATGGTGGGGAGGGTGTGACAAAGAAACTTCGTGGTCCTCCATCAAGTGATCAAGAAGAAACTTGTGAACTGAAATCAGTGTCTGAAGTTTTGACACATCTGAAAAAGGAGGTCTCAAATGTAATAACATTCTCTTACCGGCGTTTGGATTGGTTGTTGCGAGCTACCTCATTGCCCTCTTCGACCAGTGAAAATTCTATTGAATTATCAAAAGAGAGTACTTTCCAAAGCACGAGAACATTAAGACAAGGATCATCTGATGATGATGTTTCAGACAAGGTTGCTATAATCGAATTGTTGATTCCTTCTGTTTTTAGAGCCATAGCATCAGTTTCCCCTGCTGGTTCCTTGGATCCCGACGCTGTAGCATTCTTCTCGCCAAACGAGGGTGGTAGCTACATTCATGCGAGGGGATTCTCCGTTCATCATGTATTTAGGCACATCACGGAGCATGCTGCTATGGCTTTACAGCATTTTACAGGTGTTGGTACTGAGTCACCCTTGCTTTCTTTGCTGCTGTGGGTTTGCAGCTATCAGACTTTGTTCTCGAAAGCTTGCAGCAAGTGTAGCCGTCTACTATCAATGGACAAAGAGTCTGCCATGCTACTGCCCCCTGTTAATCGCCCTTACCGAAACTTTTCTGCTGGAAAATTCTTGTCAAAAGAGGAGCCAAGTGTGGATTCTAGTCAGTGTTTTCACATCGACTGCTTTTCTGAGGAAGCATAGAAAAATCAGCTCCATTGTACAAAGAAATTCCGAACCTATAATGTAGTATGTGGCCTGAGAGTGGTTGGTTAACGAAGTTTCTTTGGATTGTATTTGTTACACCAAACTTTAGATTAGTTACGTTTAACTTTCTTTTTGAGGTCTTTAAAATCCTACTAAATCAATGACAATTTTATACAAGTGATCTTTTCTGAAGTCACTAACGAAGGTTAGTTAACAGAGAGTCATTTATTTTGTTGTTTTATTTCCAAAAGATCGAAACAAACTTTTTTTGGGGTATGATTAATTTATTTATGCTCTGCTTTAATTCATGCAATCTAAAGCTGTTGGTTTTTTTAGCCTTTCTAGATTGGTCTAATCATTAATGGAATTTAAAATAGGAGAATTTGAATAACAATTAACAAGTCTTATTTTCCTCTGTTTGATATGCCTTTACATCTTTTTCAATTATAATGCTAATGGACATACAGTAAATATTCGATAAATTAATAATCTCTATAAAATAATGTTTTTCTCTTGTCTCGACTTAGATCAATGGATTGAAATCATCAATTTCGATAAGATAATGAAATAATATATTTCTAGAAGACCTTTATATAAATATGTGGTTCCATTAATATCATAAATTAATAATTCTTTACAAGATCAAATACATCTAAGAAAATTTAGTGAAATATGATTTTATTGTGTTCTGTTTTTTCTTAAAATTTAAATCTAGTTGAAGCTCATCTTTAAATTTTCTTATTGCATCCAAGAGCTCTGGTATTGTCTTTTCGAGCTGCATCATAAAATTATAAAGAGTTTTAGATGCGATAAATGCTTCCTTAAGCGTAGCTAGCTCCAAAGATATAGTATTATCTTCAACTTTATCATCAATATTGCATTTTTCAATGCTATTCACAATTTATTCTAAACTCTGGATCTATGAACACGTATCACTTTTATCCGGATAATACAACAAGTTCTTGATATCCATTTTACCGTGATAACCAAGATCATTAATCATACCAAGTTCATGAATGCCGTTCCACAAGTGGATTCATTTTAATTCTCTGAGATTGCGTCTCGCGAACGAATGTTACTGTGTCGAATACAATTTGCTATTGTCTATTGTCGAACATTTGTTGTCCAAGCAGGGATTGCAATTTGATAGCATCCGAAACATTGATCTTTGTTGGATCAGTTTGTCTCACTTCATAACCTTCTAATATCCGACGATAAAATCTGTTACAATAATACAACTTGAAAGTGCTCTTATTATCCCAACACCACAAGGTTGAAATTAGTAAGATATAATGATTTTGATGTATTTTTTTTTACTTTATGCATAATAATTTTTTTATGTAAAATCAATAAATATAAAAAATAAACTAAAAAGAGATAATGATTTTAATATAATCACATTAATCTTCATTAAATCTCAAACTATTTTTTAAATTGATAAATATTAATTTATTAATAAATAATATCTTTATAAAATAATAAAGTTTCACGATCTCACCTATATTAATTTATAAAAATTTTATTATAGAGCCATCTGAAAAATATTCTTATAATTCAAAATTGGGAGCCACTTGTCCACGCACAAAATGACAGTTGTAATTTGAATATTTTCAATTCCCAAAATATCGCCGATGACAAGAGTTGACACAGTCGGTCCAGGTCGTAAACAGGCTGGCCCGTTATACAATTATAATAGTTTTTAAATTATGTGAAATTTGTTATAAAATCAAGCTCATAAGAATATAATCATAAAGAGAAGAAGACATGAGAAGTAAA